TGGTCAAGAAGGAATATTGGGTCACTCCTTTCAAAGCATTCCTGGATCCAACCCTTGAGATGTCAAAATTCTTAAAATTAAACGTATTAAACGTTACACTAACATGGGTATTATGAGCCTCTGAATTGCTAAATAACCTCAAGTACGTATTCAGTTAATATTCTGCTCCAGTTGACTCCACAGGTTGACCATCATCATTATTATCTCCCTCAAATGATGTTGGCTGCTTTGCTGCCGATGTGTTCCTGTTCTTCAAGCAGAACAGTACAGTATCCACAGCAAACAACACCATTGTAATGATTCCAAATGCCTGACACACAAAAAGGCAAATATGAGTGTTACTGACCCAGTGTGAGGTCTAGATTGTACTATCAGTGGTTTCAAGCACCACCTTTTTCACACTTCCCATCTGGCAACCCAAAACATGATATAGCTGAATAATTAAAAAAATTATTTAACAGTGATGAAAATACAAGAAAAAAAGTTGGCTTTCTTATTTTTCCATTCTCAGTAATAGTGCAAGATCTTTTGTTCACAACTTTTCATACTTCAGCATAACTGAATGCTTCACCATCTTTTGAATTACAAAAGAAAGTCACTTTCCAACTGTTTAAGAGAAAGGCCCTTTCTTTATAACATTTATTCCAGCACCAGTTGGAATATAATGTTAAAACCCAGCATTTTAAAATATGGTCATATCAATGTGTCTTTGCTGCCCTGAAATCTTGCCCAATCTGATGGCTCACATTTCCTTTATCAAGACATAGCTAAAAATGACAAAGAATACCTGTTATTTAACAACTAGGTGGTTAAATAGTGGATTGATCCATAACTATCCACTGCTAGCCACTGACACCAAGGTAAATAGTTGTTTTATTATACACTCAAACAGCAAGATAATAAAGCACATAAAGATGATTTTAACTTATTATTCCTTCAAAACCATTTATTCCTGCAATACAATAAAATGTTCCTGCCCAAATCCCATGCACCTTATGCCGAGGTGAACAGCACATGATATTTGGAATTTGAATAGCAAATCAGATTGCACCTTCAAGGCTATCCACTGTTTTAGTATTTACTAAAAGAAGCTACTACAACTTTTTCCAACCTTAAAACTTTGTGCTTATAAAGAAAAATATAAACAATGGCATCACCAAAAATTCCCTTATCATTTTTCATACTGACAAAAGAGCTGAAAGCTTACCCCAGCTGCCTCAACATTGCCACAAGGTTCTACAGTGCAGGGTCCAAAATATAGTCCACTTCCATCTTTGTTTTCAGCTCTTCTCAAGTGTATAGCAGTATCAAGGACAAGAGATGAGGCTAGTAGCAAAAGAAAGGTAGTAACAGGGGAGTATACTGCCATCTGTTGAACAGATCAAAACAACCATGACAAGTCAGAGAAAATTGTTCCAAACATGTGTTCTAAGCTTACACAGCTGGAAAGACTTGGTATTAATCTACAAACACATTAAAGATGATAAATTTTTATGTTAGTCTTGCCAAGAAAGTTCACTGTTCCAAGATAAATATTAACTGTAGCTCACAAGCAAAAAAACCAAGGAGAGTTTTTCCATTTTCCTTCACTTATTAGAAACGATGCAACATCTTTCTTTATATCATTCTAGTCACCAATCTCAAACTTTCACCCCATCTCTACACCTTTTTACAAACTGCAGAACCTAAATGTACACGAGACACTTGCCACATGTCACAGGAAGTATGTCAAACAAAAATTACTGAGTTCCTGTCAGGAATCAACCATTACACCTTTAGATTCTGTGCCCTGATACTCTATCACAGAGCCACAAAGACTTAGTGATGAGCAAGGCGAATACTTGGTTCATTTCTGACATGCATACCCCATACTGCTACAATTAGCAATGTAAGTGGAGAATCCAACATGATCAACATCAAAGTAGGGCCTTTATTTAAATTAATTTTGTAACTGGGCTTCCAATATAATAAGGAAATTCTGGTATTTCTTTTTTTCCATATTTGTTTCAAATTATTTTTATCTTAAGTTTGCTTATCATCCAGTTGTAGTTTCATTAACATTTCAGTAGAGATCAACAATCTGCTACAACATACAGTGTATTTATGAATTCCCAAAATTGCATATCAGTTTAATTTGTAGCATATAATCTTACTTTCATCCCTCTCAACCTCTACAATGTTGAACTTTCTTTTCTACAATTGTCAACATTGCAAGGGCACAGGGAGTTTTGCAACAAGTTGTGTTTGAGTTTATTTTAAGAAGTCTTCTGCCTACAAGAATGTATGATACAGATGGAAGTCACTTCCAATTTGGTATCATTTAAGAAATTTCAGAAGGGCATTTTTGTGTTTTTTATATTCTGACAAGTTATCCTTGTGATGTTCTACTGACAATGTACCTCATGACAACTTTTCCTTGTACATGAAAAGAATGGGTCAGATGAACATAAAAATGATGCATGAACATGTATAATTGTAAAATCATAAACCAATTTTCAGGTGAGTGTCAAAAGAAATTGAGGATTAATCAATTGAGTTATTAAAATTGTGCCAGTTTCTCAAACAATCTGATTCAAAACTAAAACCAGTTGCATCTTGATAATTCAAGTTTCCCTTGTGGGCAGTTTGCCAATGTTTTTACTTTGAATTCTCATCAGTTTTTGTGATATCTTCCTTTGCTCTGATTGCCTGTTGAGACTAATTTGGTTTAGCTTACGCTACACTCAGTCAAAATGCACTTTATATCAAAGGTAAATGTGTACCAAATGATCACCAACTTACAAAAAAGTTCCAGTTGATAGCGATCCTCTCATGAAGCCGGAGCAAAAACAAGATGAACAGAAATATTACCACCAGCCATGATGTGATGGTTGCAAAGTAAAAGAAGTCAAATCTTCCACCATATCGAGAGTCGGTGTAATGCAGTGTAAAGCCAGAAAGGCAGGCAAATGCTAACAGAAGGCCAAGCTGGATGAGAAAAAAAGGCAAAGTTACTCACTCACCATGGCATGCGCTCTTTAACTCTTATGAATTTCTCCTTACAATATAAATACAATTATATCAAGCAGACAAGAGATGAGAATGAAGAAACTTATGATCCATCAAATGTTTTTGCATGCAAGCCATTGGTCTAAATGCATCACATGATTGAAAATGCCCTAGCTTAAACTCATTGTAATAGCCAAGGATATACCCAAGGTGATATTCACCAATTTTTAAACCTGAAGCCTACCATGGTAAAAGCATCTGTTCAAATTGAATCTGAGATGAAAGGCATTTAGTTACTGTTACAGAAGGGAAATGTTTGTTTGTTCATAAAGTAAGAACACTGAAAAGTAAACATCCATGCTGTAAACAGTAAGTTGTTTGTAAACATTTTCCCCACTTGTTGGAAAAATAATCGAAGGATTACAAAAATATGCATGGATAATTGTCCTTGGACTTAATCTGTTCCATAGAGCTCACAGTTTTCCTCATGCTATGCTCTGGGCAAACTGTTTGCATCTCAGAACAGATAATGCACAATGGTAGCAATTGTTCATCCATCAATCTGGGGATCATCAGTTGATCCAACACCAAATTCTCAAAACTAACATGCTAAAATTTTAAGGGAAAAAGAAAGGGATAGTAACTAGTGAGATTTTGGGAGTTAAAGGTTTTAACAAGGATTATGGTCTCAATTCATGAATAAATGGTCTCAATTCTTGAATAAAAGCTCTTGTAGCCTAGTGTGGATCATTTTGATAGCAAATAAGCTATTTGGCATTGGGCTTTTTATACCTGCCCCCTCCCCCTTCACAAATTGTCCATCATGAATAAATTAAAAGCAGCGCTTCAAACATTCTTCCAGTTATAAAATCAAAACTGATCACTTGACTTGTTGTGTTAAAAAATGTTACCATCACGTACAATTTCCAAAATTTTAAGAAGTCCTGGTACACTTTTTAAGTAGTTGAAATCCAAACCAGTCTGTCTCATCTGTAGATTAGGGTCCTCCATGTTAAACTTTCTTTGTGCTTACCGTTATATAGCCCCAATCTAGAATTCAAGAGCAATAGAAATAAAGGCAATATCCTGAAAATTTCGCAATACTTGTATGCCAGGCTTTCTCAAGTTTATCTTTAAGGGATCTTGACAGTAGTTAGCTGTCTGTAATTTCCAGAAATAAAACATGTTCTTAAAATTGTGACACATTAGACCGAGAGGAAGTGCTCTTTCTTACTTTAAAGACAAATACATCGCTTATCAATCATTTAATAAACATTTCCGCATATGAACGCGCCTAAATATGAAAGTGGCTAAAACTGATACGCTTTCACGTTTGCTCAAACATAAAATTTGTAACTGTTGCAAAGTACTGTGAACTCGAAAATAACAAGATGAAAGTGAAAGAGTGTAGTTAAGGGAAACTCGACATGCATTCACTACTTTCCGGTGCATTTTAAAGATGTCAGCTGTTCGTTTGATTGAACCTTTTCGGTTACACTTTCGTGTGCCTCTTTCTTTCTTAGAGATTTTGACTAGCGACACCAGTGTGGATTACTGTTCCACGCACTTTTCTGGTAAATTTTCGAGTTATTATAAGGAAGAGTTATAGCACATACTAAATATAAAGTTAGGTATATTAAAAATCATGCAACTGAGAGCTTTCTCTGGGAAGAGTTTAAATTTTTCTTACGGGTGGAATTGCATCAAGTCGGAATTTAAATAACATACGGACAAATGAAATAATTTTAAGAGTGCAGAGTTTCTTACCCTAATCAAAGAGGAGGTTTGCCTCGGAAGTAATCAGATCCTTGTATAGATGATACCTCACTATACCATACACAAAATGGTCGAAAGGGCAGCGATGAGGAACTTCAAAATAAGTATATAAAACCTTTCCTAATTGGCCAAAAAATCTTTTGACCAATCATAGCAAACCTAAGAATTTCTTTCGGGTAAAAATAAATCATTACGATTGCCTCACTTCCATGCTTACGAAAAATGGCGGTTTTTTTGTAGTCACTATGCAAACTCGACAAATTTTCATCGCTAAAATCCATCGACCGAAAGAGAACCAAATTTAATTGTGCGTTGCAATCAAGGTACTAACTACAAAATATGATGTCAGCTCAAGAAACGGCAGATAAATGTAAGATCATGTATGCACTGTGGGTATAAAATTTGAATATTTTTGGTCTTTCATAAATTCAGTCGTCACTCAAAAATTTAGAAGTTACTCATGATGTAAGATTGCAATTTTTCATTTTTTGTAGCATGAGATCAGCTTATCACATGATCGGTGAATAATTCATCATCTGTAAATATAGCTATTAATTCTGTCCTGAGTTCATACAAACTCTGTTTTGCCGGATGTTTCTGGCGAAAATGTCACCGCTTTTAGCTTGAATACATATATTCCAGTTAAGATCAGTTATAATTAATACTTCTCAGCATAGGCTTATGCACTGTATGGTGTAAGCTTTCAAATTATTCTTTTGTTGTTGTTACTTGAAATCAGCTGATTACACGATCGGCGAAGAATACGTATAACATCAATGATTGTAAATTTATTATTTGAAGGAAAATTCAATTTGCAATTTGAAGAAAAAAGTTCATGTTTTGAACATTGTAAATGTATCACGAATAAGACGAGTTTAAAGATTTACTCTACAGCACGCACCTATGAACAGTTACTGTCCAGTTTTATTCAGTTCCTACTTCAAAATTTAATTATGTTCAAAGTCATGTAAATTATATATATGAAATCAGTTGATCACATGATTGGTCAAAAATAGATAATCAATAACTGTCATTTTATTCTACCAGACTTTTAATTAAAAAAGGTTTCTTTTGTGTTAATATTTGTTTTCTAGTCCAAAAAAAAGGTTGAAATTTAATTTGCCAGAATTCACTATACACACATATGCAAAATTTAGTTCAGTTATCCTTAAGACTTTGTTGCATGGCTTATCAATCCTTGTTCAAACAGTTTCAGGCTCAGACTCTTTCTCTCAGGGTCAGCTGACTTAATCCTGTGATTTATCATTTGCTTGAATCATCAGTTTTAATATTATGGTACTGAGTGAATTGCTTAGAAAGTGCAAATTTTTCAATAATGGAGAAAAATGTTTCTTATTTAATGTTTACACAGTGAACAACAGCCTACCAATTCATTTGACAGCTTCAAATGTACAGCAGAACCCAGAATTTGTAAAATTGTTAATGTCACTGACAAGACATCTGACAGACAGTGGCATGTCAGTTGCTGTTCATAAAGACATGTTACAGGTTAGAAACGGGCCAGGCACTGCCAGTCTCAATGCCTTTGTTTTTAGGGCAGTTTCAGCTGTCTCACTTTATTTGAAATTAATGATGATGAATGGTTGCCAATATTGATCTATCCACATGTTCAAGCCAAGAAAATATTACTCAACTTCACCTTACTGGAATAAATAGCATTTTTTTTTTTTACTTTTACCACTGAAACAAAACCAAAAATTGAGATGTATAAATTAAACTAGTTCCTTTACAATAAAGAAATAAACATCTAATGTGCCAATAAGGAGAAATATCACAAGTAACATTTATAATGCACAGTCCTATTAAGGCTTAGAATGCTGAGAAAAAATAATTTTTCTTTCCTTCAATGAACAGGCTGAGGATGCTTTAAGAGAACAAAAATTGAAGTACCTTCAGATTTGGACATTGTACTCAGAGCTAAAGGATTTTTTGATTGAATATGACATAAAGAAACAAGATGTTCATCCCAGTTCAGCCACATTACAAGTAAGAGGATTACTTGAAAATGAAACCTTGCTAGTTTACATTGTTTTGTTGCAAAATCAGGTGGATGCCAGTGTATTCTATAGCTGATTTCTAGAAAACATTGGCCAGAGTTTCATCCTCATGGGTTTGAGAAGTAGAAAGGTGATGATAGATAGGCACCAGTAAACTGCTAGGGAAATGTGACATAAAGCAGGGTACAGTGATGTAATCTGTGATGAATGTTCATCCTGCCCATCAAGAGTACCAGAGAAACTGAGATAACTTCTGGCAGCTATACATGCAACTGATTAATTGAAGATTTTTTTTCTTTTCTGTGATTGATAGCTTTATGAAGCCCTGAAGGTGTCTCTTGCACAGGCAGAGGCACTTGACTACATAGATTTCCACCCTGAAGGAGGTGAACAATCTGCAACATTGCTTGGACTGAAAGCAGAACAACTACTTGCAGGAGAACATCAGAGAAAGTCCTTACACCAAGTAAGCTTTAAGTCATTTGTATGATTTTTGTTGTGGACATTGTGCATGTTGTGTTAAGTTTCTTTGTTTGATCAATTGAATGAATAACATAGTTTTCTTTTTTTGCTCAGTCTTTTCAACAGAGTATTATTCCTGAACTTGAGACCAGGTTGAGAAGCAAGTGTGAAACTTTAGCAAGTTTTCACAAACCAACAAAACAAGCTGGTATGAGTCACTACTTATTTCTTGTAAATGGACCAAGTTTGTGTTTAATGCCATGTTTTTATTCATGCATTACTTTGGCCATCTTTCAGAGAATGAACAGTTGTCTTTTGCTAAAGCTACCCAGTTACCAGCATTTCTTGAAAATGAGAAACAGTTGTTGGACCAAGAAAAGAAGCAGTTGCATCATAATCACATGCTGAGAGACAAACAGTTTACACAATTATATGAGGTTAAGTGTCTTTATTGGTTATTGTTCTACTTGATGTTAACCATAAGCCTTAGGTTGTTTACGTATCATAAAAAAACGTCATTTATATCAGTGCCAATATAATCATGTTGCAGTCTACTGAGGAAACATGTTTACTGTAGTTATAAAGGGTTCCTAAGGTCAGATTCCTGTGTTGTTAATGGTGAACTTTCATTGATAATTTTTTTTTACTGTTTTTACATGGCTTTGAGGATAAAAATTGACATTAGCATGAAATGAAATCCAAAGTTTGGCTCTGAACCTCAGGTTTCACATATTGTTGAAAGACTTAGCAGCAAAAACTAATGAGTGAGGAAGCCTGGGGATGCCAATTTGATTGTAAGCAGCAACTTGCTCTTGCAAAAATTCATCACTGTTTTGTCCAGGGTTGCTTCTGGAAAAAGGAAGAGAAACCATGACAAAATTGACTCATGTGCTTCCAGGTCTTAGAAATGGATTTAGATCAAGGGGTGGTGGGTAGGGTCAGTAAAATTACAAATCACTTCACCATTTCTGCCCAGCCATTTATGTGGACACTTTGTTTTTTTTTAATGTTAGGTTTTAATGCAGTCACTTCAAATTCTACAAAAACTAATGGCAGACCATCAGCTGCAGTCTCAAGCAAAACATGATCGGGTGATGGCAGAGTGGTTGGCTGCAAAGTGTGATGCTATGTGTCTGAAAGTCAGGTATTATTGACATGGGTTTCAGTTATTTAGCACAGTTGCACATGGTATCCTGCTATAATCCGCCTGCATGAGGTACATATCAATCTCATCTCCAGGGTCCCTCTTCTTAAAGGGTGAGATAAAGAGAAAGATTGGGAACCAGTTTGATTGATTATGTGAAACTGTACTATTTGAAGCAATATCAATGAATTTTCAATTTAGGCAATGTGAAGGAAAAAAAAAAATTATCAATTAGAGGATGTTGTTTGATGTAATGCGTAATTCTCAGAGTGATATTTGTAAGGGATATATGGCAGACAGCATGGAGAATTGGAAAGAGGAGAAGGTCTAAGAATGAGTTGGAGTAATTTCCTCTGATGACATCAATACATTTTCAAGATGGGCAATGTGAAGAAAGAAACATAACAACCAGAAGATACTGTTTGATGTAACACCTAATTCTCAGAACAGTCCTTATTGGAGATGATGGCACATAGCGTAGAGAATTGACAATTATATTCAGGAGAGAAAGATTTAATCACAACTGTATGCTTCTTTCATAGAGTACTTCAAAATCAGATGATCAGGGACACATACACTCCTGAAGCAATTCAAGCTCTTAAAAGAATCAAGTATGTGTGCTTAACAGTGCTTAACAGTGCATTTATTAACATCTGTTGAATCTCTCAGTCTAGAAACAATTTTCAATTGAGTGGCCAAAATAATCTGGGATTGCATTGCTTTTGCTCTTCTTTACGCTGTGATTGGCCCAGAAAACTCGCGCCACTATCTCACCTAATCAGATTTTGAGAGGCTAAAACCAATCGCGACTTGGTCACCCGCGTTTTCCCGCGCTCGAGAAAGCGTGCTTGGTTTAATAATAAGTACAGGTCTATTCTAATTGGCTTTTTGTGATATTTGTCTTTGGTTTGATTGGCTGGTTTGATTATTTCAGTTGGTTTTTTAAGACTCTAAGCCGAAATTCGCACTATATCGAACGTTTTAAAGCTTTTGGCTTGGCTGATCCCAGCAGTATGTAGACGCCTCTCACATACATGTATGAACTTACTGTATGCCAACACAGTGGTCGTTGGGCCTGCGCAAGGGGGTTAATTCTAGCCCGCCGCGCGCCAATTTTCCCGCGCAAAATTTTTAAGAAAAACATGAAAAACAACCGTTGTCACGTCAAACATGCAAACTAAACTGAAACTTTCTCAGAAATCTACAAAAATACTTTCCGAAAACAAAGCTTATTCCAAAGGCTAACGCTCGAGTCGTCGTTTTAAACTCTTTACGGTGGCCAGTTTTCGTTGTCAACTCAGGTGATAATACTAAATTAAACTGTTATACTCTCCCACCGACGCTACACCACAGTTTCTTTAGAAACTTACCCCCTTCATTCGAGTGATCTGTAGGTCTGCGGTGGAGCATTGGACCGCGAATTGCAAGGGTTTGGGACATGCGTCCGTGAAGGATGCTCAGACTTTTTTCTTTGTACCACGTTTGCCAAAATTGCTAATATTTTTCTCTCTTCATATTCACCTTAGGGCCTCTTTAAAGGACGCCGAAGAAGAGAGCACTGCTGAGTTTCACCGACTTACACAAACACTTCTCGCTTACGAGTCAGTTGGAATGGGTTTTGATTCCCTTGTTCAGCAATACACTACACTCATGGCGGAGATTGACAACAAGAAATGGGCGCTGAGCGAACTGCGACAAAATCAAGGAAGCGAGTTGGATGACTTGTGGAATCAGCATTAACGTGAAAACAACGGAACGGCGTTCAATTTGAAAAGAAGGTTTCAGCCAAACTTCGGCTTCTTTGTGAAGCAGTTAGCGCGATCATGGAAATGAAAACATCTTAAATTCTCAAATTGAAGAGATATCTTCCCTTTCATAGATGAGATGTCAAAAATTGAATTGGACGTGAACCTGTTGGAGAACGATGTATGAGAGACTTCTTATATTGTCTCCCTGCAGCAAAGATTATTCATTTTTAGAATACTTCTCTTCACGAGCCGATGATATAGGTCGCGAAGTTTACATTTTCAACCTGACTCGAGATACGAATTATGCTGCAGCTACTTTAAACACAAGTTTGAATATATACGATTTCAGTGACCCAGTTACTTGTTCGTGAATTACAATCAGTGTTTCGAGATTCATCTTTTTAAAAAGTTTTTCCTTTTAAATCTGCATGGTAACTTCAGAGCCACCTTAATTTTTCGATAATCTCTTCAAGTTTACATAAGATAAAGTGCAGTGGAATCGCTATAACAGAGAATTGCTATTTGAAAATAACATGACCATTTTGAGCCACCTTACAGCATATCAGGAAGATGCGATAGCTTGCAATAGAGTTTTTTCCTTTGAAAATCTCGGTTGTTGCAAAACCTCATTTTCTTAATAGATTTAACATTCCTCGAGTTTCACGATTTATTGAAAGTGTTCCCAGTTAATAGAATTACTGTGCACACACATCTTTTAAAATCTGCATGGATAACGTAATGAAATCTTCTGCTTGTTCTTTTGTGGTAACGTGTGGGAAATATTCCACGGCCCAGTAAAGTTTACCGTCCACCGTCAGGATGTTGTTACCGAAAACGTGGCCCAGTCTCTCTCCTCTCAGACCAAAGTACATTCCGGCAAATTTGAACGGACACTCCCCACCCTGGCTCGTCTGGAGGGCTCCGCAGTTAGTGATAGTGATGATCTGGCTCCTACGGCCTTCGTTATTTTCATAATTGTGTAAATTGCAATACGCTTTGCTACCAGAACAATAATAAAGCTTCAAGAGGTCGAGGTGCTTCCCAGAGTCTAGCTGCGCGTGTACCTCGCGAGTACACGTGCGAGCAAACTCCCAAAATCCAACTTTGTCATCGGGGTAAGCCAAGGGAACTAAAATTGATAAAGCACTTGCGGTAACATAGGCTCCAAACTCAAAAGTTTCAACTTTTGGCTGGCAATCTTTGCGTAGACTGACTGTATAGATTGAATCGATGCAGACTGGGGTGTGAAGATCGTGTTTTTTCGTGCAGAGAATTCGCGCGATCGCTTGGTGCGTGGAGGCGGTTATGGCACCGTGAACTGTGCACTTGTTGGCTTTACAGTTCTTTAGCAGCAGCTTTGTGTCTTCTTCAGAAAAACTTCGACCAAGGAGGCAGGTTTTCTTCGATACCGACGGATTTGAATTGACAACAGGGGGGTAAACTGAAAGGTAAAGATTATTTGGTTTCATGAAGAAGGTTTTCGCTCGCTGAAGTGCGAAAAAGCTCGAAATTAACACTTTCTCCGCAGTGCTTGGTTCGGCTCGATTGGATAGCAGTGATTCCAAGGGGGGTCTAAGGGGCAAGCTTTCAACTTCAAATTCTTCACTATGGTGGAGAGCCGCTAAAAATTCCACCAGTTTTTGCTGAAGCTGGAAGACAGAAAGTGCGTCGCAGATTGCATGTTGGAATGTGAACAGTAACGCGTAGTTGTATTTGCCTTCGTGGACTGATTCTTTCAGTAGCCTCACTCGCCATAGAGGACCAATGTTAGTGTTGAACAAGGGGCCATCTGTTTCCTTTTCGAAACCTTTTTCCCATTCATCAGCAGTTATCTCGTCCAATACTCGAAAGTCGACTGTTTCTGGGTTTTCCATTTCTTCAAAGTATGGTTGACTGCCGCTCTCGTTGATTCGCATCCGTAGCAAGGGAAATCGTTTGGGTAGCAGACTGAGGGCTTTCCGCAGATGATCGTGAATCAGTTCTTCTTCAGAAGTCAGTAGCAGCACAGAAGTAATAGTCCCCCAATGATTTATCTTTTCTCTGTCGAGCAGCACCCGCTCTAACATGCCAAGAGGTCTTGAATTAGTACTCTCCGCCATGAAATCGTGCTGTTTTACAAGTTACTGTGCGATCTTCAAGGCTCGTAAGTCCCTCTTTCTTGTTTTTGGCCGTTAGGATTTTTTTGTTTTTGTAGGCACCTTCAATAACTTTGATTTGTAATGATCATTGGTGTTGTTTTGGAAAAAATAAATCCGTGCGCGCGTTACTTCGTGATCTTCTTTACTGTGCTCTCTTGTGTTTTTGAAAAACATCGATGACGTCATAAGCGTTCCAATATCGAGTTCTGATTCACGACCAGTGATACTTTAAACCATTTAGATTACAACCAGCAGTCTTTTCTTGTGATTTCCCCAAAAACCGAAAAACTCACCCCGTCATCGGGTAAGTAAAGCTACAAAGGCCTCGGTTAAAGTTTCCGCATACCCCCATACTATTGTAAAACAAATCTGTTTTCCTAATGGCAATTTATTGTTTTTGTCATTGTTTTCTCTATCCAAGAACTGAATGCATAATGTAGTATGGGGTTGTGCGGAAATTTTACCCTCTCATATTTAATAGAGCTTGCCACAGATTTTCATGGAGCTTTGCAGATTTTTTCGTCAAAATTATTCACGCGTCCAGGATGATTCGTTTGTTTGAAATAAGAAATTCTGAACTTGATATTCCTTTGTCAAAGTTCACTATATGATGGCGAGGTCTGTTCCCAATAACGGCGGGATGTGAGGGCATAATAATGATGTAAATTTATCTCGTCTCTTTTGTCGTGTCTGGTCCCTTTGGAACTCTTAGTCTTAGGTTTTCAATTTCGGACAATAGTTAATATGTCTGCTATTTATATGCAAATAAGGTAAAGGATCAAAGTAATTTCAAGAACTGGCCCGCTGCATGTAAGTCTCGCTTTAGATTTGATAGTTTGTCAGAGACAGTGTGATTACTTGCGTGACGTGAATAGATGTTTCAGTATATCATCAAAACAGTCTGATAATATAGCACAAAAATACGATTTTACCCATTTATTTCCGGACGTAAATCCCGCATAAGTTCCTAGGAGGTGAATATCTAAGTTCAGAGTTTGAGTAACCGATCAGTTTTCGTATGTACTACTGAATATACAGCCCAAGTTTATCAGTGGGGATCGTTGCGTGACATTCCAAAGAACGGTTTGTCGTTAATTGACCAGATTGAAATGACATTGAATGAACTTTCTACCCTCGCCTAGGATAAAGGAAGTTTTTACGCTTATCTTATGAAATAGAGAATACCCTTTCTTACTATCAGAAAGTATTTTTACACGCGCCTGTACGCGCCCATTTGAAGACGCGTACGAAAGATGGCATTAAACCTCAGTTAAACTCAGTGAATTGCACTGGGTGAGAAAGAGATACATCTATATCATCACAGTTAGCCCAGGCTGGTTGTAACAGATGGACCCGTGTCAAACTTGGTTTCTAATATACCTACCAAACAAGGCAGGTTCTGGAAACTAAGGTAAATATCTTGACGGGTGATGGTCTCATACCCTGTGTTCACTTGCTAAAAATACATCTGCATCGCAGACTACCAGATTCTCCAGTGGTTCGTCATCGACCGTTTGATGTCCGCCTTTGATTTTCAAGTAAGTCAATTGCAACAGGTTGGAATCTTCTTTAAGATTTAATAAAATCAAAAAGTAACCAACGATTTTCAAGAAAAAAAAATAAGGTTTGCAACTTTTTTAAAAATTGGTTGAGAAAAAGGTTGTCACCGTCGCTGATTTCTCTCTAAATTTATGCTCCAGAATGCCGGAGTTGGCTCTTGTAGTTTTTTTTATGAATATTCTTGGTAACTCGTGTCTGTATTATACATCATTGAAGAGATGAACATATATCTTTTTTCGGTTTACTTTTTCAGGGCTAATTTTTATGATAATGTGGATTCAAGCAACTTTCCCAATCCTTTTATAAACAACACCGCCATCTTAAGAGGGCGTAAAAAAGAAAATTACGTTGCCCGGAACAAGTAAACAGAATGGTTCCTGCTTTACGGGCTTTAAAATTTACCTTTATGGGCGACTATCATGAAAGTTTACGCCCCTTACATTTTTCTTAAGACTAGTTATCTGCCGTTAGCTTTTCCGTGAATGGCATCCCGCGCACGTAACCTAAAATAGTGGCTTACAACACACCACTGACGTATTACGGGGCGCGGGGAACTTTTCCTATCAAAATTCAATATCAAGACCAGTTATCTGCCGTTAGCTTTTCCGTTTTCCCGCGCACGTTAACAGAGTGCCAGAACAATAACAAAAACGTTTTGACATTTCCTGTCAAAATGGTATGTAAACAGAGTGCAGAACATAACAAAAAATTTTGACATATGGTATGTAAACAGAGTGGGAAAGGAAAGTATTTTGAGCCAAACCTCAAAAAGAAAACAAAGACTGGGAAAAAGATTTCTTGCCCTATTGTTAGAGTTGTCATGAAAGACTCCCCGCTGTAAATGATGTGACTTGATTTCCTAGGCTCTTCCTAGCTATCCATATATGTTCTTTTAAGTGTACAACAAGAAGGCTGAAGGAAAACTGTGTTAGTTTAATTTTAAGTGACATTAAAATATATATTATATCATCATCAAATATGCGAATAGTTTCGTAAACTTTGCCCCGTTTACTAAGGATAGAATTCTAACGAACTAGACTCAATCAAACTGTTTTATTCCACTCTCGTATTCGCTTATTTACAACGGGTGTGTAAAAAGCTACTCTGCAAAATTTGTAAGAAATCACTCTCCTATACGATATTGTTTACATTGTGATTGGTTGTTGCTAAGTACTGATTTAAAAGGTCATTCAAGGTTGCCTTGATTATGTAAACCGATCAATGTCGCAAAATCACTTGCTTCTAGCTCTTGACATAATGTTCACGCTCATCAACTGACATGTGTCACGACGGATGACTAAGTCTCCGACGATAGGAACATAAAGAACTACCATGGCTAATATTCCGACCATGAAATACGCAAAAAAAAGCAGAAAGGCATCCTGTGCACGAAGCTAAAAATGGCAGCTTACAACACACCACTGATAGCGGCCTTTCACACCCCCGCTACACGCTCGGACTTTTCTATTCAAAATTCTATATCACAAGTTATTTTCTTAACGAAACACATATCATAACAAGACATAAAAAGTGTGGTAGATAAACAGACTGGTGAAAGGAAAACATATTGAGCCAAACCCCAAAAAGAAACAGAGATTAGAAGGAAGATCTCTTAAGTCATTATTTTAGTTGTCACGGATGACTCCCCGTTGTTTAAGGTGTCACTTGATCAGTCCCAAGTCCTTATTATCCATGCTCTTAAGTGTACAACAGTGAGGCTAAAGGAAAATTGTGATAATTTTAATTTTTAAGCGACAGAGAAACGTAACTACATTACCATCACAAAATATACGAACAGGAATAACTTTCCTTGTCATAACATAGATCCTCAGTCCTGGCGTGTCACGTCATACGCGAGCTCTGTCCCACGCGCTTCTCGTGTTTCCTGTAGTGTTCCTCGCAACGCGTCAGACAAACCAAAGTGCGTGTTTATTTATGGAGAAAGTGTTTTCGAGAAGAGTATATCACACAATAAACAATCACATTGCACGTCATACTGTTATAAGCGAAAGCTATTGTTTATTAAATAATATTCACACTGTGACGAACTATTAATTAGCATGACACTAAAGGTTAGATTTTTAAATAGGCATCAATTTACGTTTGGAATTCCGCCTCAATGATTATGTTGACGGGCATAACAGTACTGCTTTCGACTTGTTTCGGAGTTGTCATGACAACATACACACTTCTTTACCATCTAGTTGTATGTCTTTGTTCTTTTCACTATCGCAAGTCATAGCAATTAAATTTCCATTAGTTTTTATTTCACTGAGACTAGAGGTGGAGCATACAGGAGACTGCTATGCTTCACCCTGCACTTCTGTCAAAAAGCATCGGTTAGTCTATTTTGGAGTATTATGTTATTAAATAAATTGCACGCATGACATTGTGAAGTGCTGTTTAACATCATCACTTTCAATTGTTATTCTTCCTGATTGAAGCCTAAACAGTCTGAAGCGTTTTTAATTGTTTGTGATTTAGGATCAGGTAATCTTGCAGGAAAGCTGTAAGGCCAAAATTGGACATACCTTTAACGGACAAACTGGAATAGTCACACAGATTTTTTCGTAAACAGAGACTTATTCAAACTTATCTGCATGTACAATTTGCGCGACAGTTTTGATACGTCTGACTTGCATTTCTTTGTCTTTCGTGTTTTCATTACTGAATGGATATTTGAGGTTATGCCCATGTATAGACATGATTCGGCAGACGTATTATGACGAGGTTTTATTAGATGACGCAAAGAGACAATGAGAAGTGTCAAATGCATTTTGACTTCCGCGCTAAATTGTCAACAACAGGACCACAAAGCCTATAAAAGTGAGAGCGCACTTGTTTCGTGTCAGTTTGAATCGTGAGACAAGCTGAGAATGGAAATTCAAAATCAAAAGACGAGTGCCCCAGAAATCTTTGAGATTTGGGACATTTTCGAGTCCTACATAGCATCAGTTATCATTTGCGTTTTGATCTTGGAAGCTCTCGTTGCTGTTCTCTTCTTCCTTAAAATGAGAGATGCTCACGAGCCAACCGTAAGGCACTCACGGCGGAGAAACGGAAAACTCTCCAGGCCTCTGGGCTGGTTGGAACGTGTGTTGCTGGAGAGAGAAAGAGTGAATCATTGGGGAACTGTGTCTTCGGTATTACTCCTGGATTCTGCGGAAAAACTTAAACAAGATCACTTAATAAAAGCCCTCGGCCTGCTTCCCAAACGATTTCCTCTCCTGAGGATGCGAATCAACCAGAGCGGCAGTCATGAGTGCTTTGAGGAAATGGAAAACCCAGAAACAGTGGATTTTAAAGTCCTTGACGAGATCGCGGCTAATGAATGGGAGAAGGGCTTCGAGGAAGAAATAAATGGCTCTTCTTTTAACACTGACACAGGTCCTCTGTGGCGACTCAGGCTGCTTAGAGAGACACTTCACGAAGGAAAATACCGGAACGCTCTAGTGTTCACATTTCATCACACCATCTGCGACGCCCTGTCCATTTTTAAGCTTCAACAACAGCTGCTGAGTTTCCTTTCTTCAATGCACGATGGAGAAGACTTTAAAGTCGAGAGTCTGCCCCTCAGACCTCCTCTTGAATCGTTGACATCAAGTCTCGTTAAACCAAATATTTGGGAAAGACTATTGTTTAAGAGTGTATTTGCCCTCCAGCGAGTGAAGAACATCTTTGTTAAGCCAAAGAACTTGTATCTGTCGTTCTACCCTCCTGTCGCCGATTCCGATCCGTCGGTGATGAAGAAAACTTGTCTACTTGGTCGCAGTCTGTCTGAGGAGGATACCAAGCTGTTAATAAAGAACTGTAAGTCCAACAAGTGCACTGTGCACGGCGCTATAACCGCTTCCACACATCTGGCAATTACGCGACTTCTACAGAAAAAGAAACAAGACTTAAACGCTCCGGTCACTGTCGAATCGTCTTACTCCGTTAGTTTACGCAAGGAATGCCAGCCACAGGTGAGCAGCGATGATTTTGGAGCTTTCATCTCCGCAAGTGTGTTATCCATTCCAGTACCCAGTGTTGACCTTACAGACAAGCAAGGATTTTGGCAGTTTGCGCGCGCGTGTACTCGCGAGGTACACACGCAGGTGGATTCTGGAAAACATAGGAACGCTCTGAAGTTTTATCAATGCATTGACATTAGATCGTACTGTAAAATGTCCGATTATAAGCACAACGAAGGCCGTAGAAGCCACATATGTAATATAAATAATTACGGAGCTCAGAGCACTAATCTAAGTGAAGAGAGTCCTTTTAAGATTGCAGGGTCGTATTTTGGTGTGCAAGGCGCGAAAACCAGTCACATATTTGGCAACAATATCATGACAGTTGACGGCAAGCTTTACTGGGCTGTAGAGTATTTTCCACATGTCACCACTAAAACACAAGCAGAAGATTTTACTGATTTAACCTTGGAAATTTTAAAGGGGGCTTCTGTTTGATAGCAGTTTAATGTTACAAATAAATTTTCTGCAAGCTAAAATTGTGTAGTTATTTATTCATCAAAAGTTTCTTCTACCGTTAAGAACTGAAATTGTAAAGAGGTATTTATATTTCAGCCTAAAGCAGTTATTTAATTTGTTGTTTCATCGACGTCGTCTTTGCAAAACTTGCTGGGTGTTCACGTATAATAGCTTAATATCAACAAAAGAAATATATTTTGTGTAAATTTAACCTTAGTCATAAGAAGAACACATCAAGATATGGTATGTACATTTCAGTAGGTTCGATTTTGGCGAAGATATTTGAAATAAATAATATATTTAAACACAAATTTTGAAATTGTTGTCTCTTTTCGCATCGCGTGTCTCCACAATGTTTGTCAAAGCGGTCAAGGTTATTTCCTTCAAACATTATATATAAAGCGGTTCCGTTTCTATCATCCTTCAAAAGGTTTTTGCTGTCATATCAAACCCACACTTGGCCAGCCGGAAAACTAGCCACATAAATGTGTGCACTCTTGACGCCCCTGACATCGTGTCAAAAGTAATACGGGATAACCCCGGACTGAATTGGTTTATTTCACTGCGCTCTGTAGTTGGTTAAGAAATATTACACTCAACTCTTAGTCATTCAGAATGACGCAAAACTCTTACCCTGCGCAACTTGCTCGCTTCCTTATAATTGTATGTACTTTAGGTCTTCACTGCTTCTTTCGAATTGTGTGCATTGGCTTCAGTTCAACGACTTTTCCCGCCTTTTCACGCTGCATGCGGAAACTTTAGGACTAGCCCGAGTGTTGCATGGCAAGTGAAGGAACGGCTGCCAGCAGACCCCGGAAAAAAAGTTCTGCTAAGTAACTGCACTGACTTGTTTTTATTACTTTTTTTTTATTTGAGGTAACTAGCTTCTCATTTGTACGCAGCGGGTATCCCTACGCAGAGAAAAGCAAGGACATTTTTATTTCATATTCCCAGTTTCTGACAAAATCATCAGAATAATTTGATAATGGTCAATTCCGTATACAGATCATTTGGGATGAGTAAATTTTGGTGACCAAACCAAGAGAGAAACCAGCCCTCATTAATAGACTACATATTTCAATGCTGCATTTGTACAGCTTTTTCTATACATTCCATAGATAATTTCTCTAAACAAGAAATGTTCCAGCCGTAGCCGTTCTTCTGCCTGCAAAAAAATTGTTCGACGACAGTGTTGTCCCAACACACTTCTCAAAATGCGCAAAACCAGATTTTCTACATGCCCCCTGTAAGAATTAGTAAGGCTGAGTTCTTCGTTGTAAAATCGTCTTCTTCTACTGATACTTAGAGAACACGATTGCAGTGTGGTCCATTGAGCACTGCATACAGTAAACTACTCTCATGCTGACTTTATAGAGGGTAGTTCGAAAAAACGATCCGCAGAGGAGAAGTGAGGATGACGAAGACAGTCCCATCTTCCTACTGTCAAATCAAACAAATGAAGGCGTGTTTCATAAGAGGAAATCGCTCTGAAGAAGTCTTTCGACTGCCAAAAGGATTTTGGCTTGGTTCCTACGAGTAAGCTTCACAAATCAGAATAAATTTGAACTCCCGCTTTAAAATATGGCGAACATTTGATTCAAACCTGGAGTCCAGTCCATTTGAATTCAATGCAGTTCCTCTGATTTTTATCACTCTCACATTCTGATCACAAGTCAAGGTTTCGTGACACAAGAGCGACAGTAACGAAAGGTCTGCTACCAAACTCTTCCTCGTCTCATTCACATGGAAAAATGGCGACACTCCCTTTCATTTATATCCAACGTTTCGCTGTACTCAGAACATAAATAGCCATTGTACCCACAGAAGCTGTTAATGTCCACACAGCGAGCTTCATGTAAGGATTTGTTTGTGTCGCCGATCGGAAATTTTGTGAAACTTCGAGTTCATTGTTTGTGTAAAGGGCAAGCTGTTTTTTCCTTTGTCTCAGAACAGAATCGGGTCTTTGATCGCCTAACTCTCGTATAAACTGCTTGTGCTTGGCTACGGTTATGCTAAATTGAAAAAAAATCACTCGTACATTAAAGAGAAAAAAAATGATGCAAGGTAAACATTGGAGAATTCTTCGAAAGGAACTTGTGAGTACCACACGATTTCTAAGGAAAAAAGAAAATCTATATAGAGAGATAAAACTCTGGATATTTGAGGTTGCGGATTTTGTCGTCTCTTGTGATTTTATTTACTTAAAAAAAAGGATCGCTGGAAAAATTGACATGTCTCTCGTTTAGAGACAACAAAGAAATACTGGAGAAATTTCCTAACAAATCAACCCTTAAAATGCAGATTCTTGTATTAAGCAGAAGAATCGATGAAGAAAACTGACAAAGGAATCAACAAAAATTTAGATGATGCACAGAAGAGGCGTAAATTCTTCTCGACTTATGAACACGCAACGTTTCAATTTACAACTAAAAATGTAGCTACAGGTTCTGAAAAGGACTGTTGTCGATGACCATGGCAGTCGTTTTTAACATTGCAAAGCAAAAAACACCAATTACCTTTCTTTAAGATAGCGGTCAACAGCTCCAGATAGCTTTTCAGGGGGAAATTTGCGGAACAGCGAATGCGCAGTGGTGATAAGTTCTTCAACGTAGTCAGGAAGATCATCGGGAATTCGAGAAAGAAGATGGTGTACATAGCTCATTTCACATTCGCCGGCCAGCACTTCAGAACGACGCCGGATCACAAGCTTGTGACAAAAAAGTTTAAACATAGATTACAATGAATGTTTCGTTTCTTTTCACACTTGCCTTGGCTGAAAAACCTACGTGTAGTTATCGCTCGCGCTAAAATCCTGCGGCAGTTTTAGCTTGTGGATTGACATATTTCTTCAAATTTGCGAAGTTCAAGGTGACTGAACTGGTGGGAACTAATTTTTGCGGTTTTTTTTCCATCTCAAATGAATAAAGGGGTAAGTTTCTAAAGAAACTGTGGTGCTGCGTCGGTGGGAGAGTATAGCAGGTAATTTAGTGTTAACAACTGGGTTGAAAACGTATATTAGCCACCGTAAAGGGTAAAAAAGCTGACGTTTCGAGCGTTAGCCCTTCGTCAGAGCGATTTACGGTGGCTAATATACGTTTTCAACCCAGTTGTTAACACTAAATTACCTGCTTTTTTCCATCTCGTTAGGAGAACCTAAATAAGGGAAAAAAACCGAGATATTTTTAGATGGCCGTCGAGTGATGAGTGTATCAGGTCATGTTACAAATACTCCGACGTTCCCTTATTGTATCTTCTTTACTCCTATTAAAGCTACTAAACCGTTTAAAGCGTAGGAAAATGCGAAGGGCCGACTCACGATTACTTTGAGTTTTGATGCTGATTGAATGAGAGGATGTCGAGTTTTCTGGACCAATCACAGAGACACAATCATACAAACTGGGTACAAAATTTCACTAAAATCTACGGGTAAAATAAAGAAGGAGGACACAGCAACTCACAGCGGCACCGAAGTACACAGGCATAAGAGGATGGGTGGCCAGAAAGAAGTCATACAGGCGCACTATGGTGGAAAAATCCTTCAACACGTGGCCGTACCACGTGATTAGCCAGCTGAGGGCAAACACCTGTCCCACTTCAGACCTTGTCAGTGTAAGGAATGAATTATTACTAAGTTTGAGATCATCATTTTTTCGCAATATTATGCTAGGTACTGCAATGGAGGGTATTATGATACTGATACAGTAAAAACCCGCGTATAAGAACCTAGTGATTTAAGAACCTACAGGCTGAAATTTTGCATAAAATTTCATAAAACTTTGCTGTAGTTGCAAATACAGTCACAAATACTGTACAGTACACTGTATATACTGTAAATAGCCAAAGATGTTTTGTTCTGTACAGCATGGAATTGATTGGTAAACAAGGCAGGCATATTTTTCCTGTTGAAATTTGCATGGTGATCATACAACTGTAAATATGGTCAGGCCCATAGTACAGGACTTGTTTTGACCACAAGGCTTGACATTTTTGTAAATGCTTTACGATTATAGCATATTAGTACTATTGCAGTTCCCCAAATGCTATCACTATAATAACTTTTGCAACTGAGAACCTACTATGAACCTAATCAGCCTGTTATTGGAAAAAATACCTCAAAATATAAGAACCTGTTCAGCCTGAACTCCAAAATTCTAGGTTCTTATATGCAGGTTTTTACTGTATATTCACAGTCGTGCAATGGAGTGTGGTAGACATGGTAGCTTTAAGGTTAGAGCAATTGACTTTGGATTAAAAGGACTGGGTTCCAGTCCTAACCCAAGGGTTAACCTAACCAGGGTCATTGCGTTGTGTCCTTGGGTTACGCATTTTTCTCAAACAATATCTCTCTTCATCTAAGGGTAGAGATGGGGGTACCAGTGATGGGCTACCACCCCATCCAGGAGGAGAATTACTACTTGGCAGCTTCATGGTGTAAAGTCCCGAAGTGTGGATCACTTGGCTTGTGCCCCATACTTAACCTACTCTGTATACCTTTTGGAGCCAGAAAAGTGATCTTGTCTTACAAAAGACATGTAACCACAAGTCGAAACCATGGGGGGGTCTCATACATATGTATAACTGACAGCATAATATAGAAATAAAGGGTGGAAACTAAGGCAAATAATTCACTGGGGTGAAGTTCGTGATTTCCAGGCTTGGCTGCTGAAATAAACTAAAATAACATACCTGACAAGAAATTCCCTCAGTTCTGGATCAGCTTCTTCAATAATGGGATGCAAAAATGCCAGCATTTTAGTTGTCTTCTCCATTGAACCTTCCATGAAGTCCCTGAAACAAAAAAGCACAGATGCCAACAGAAATAACCACCTGAAACAGTTTGGTATTACATGTACTATTGGAGAAGATTGTAAAAGGAAAATTATTGAACAGTAGAAATGTCAAAGAGGTATTACACGCAAAAAGAGCTACAGTTAAACTTCAAGAAAAATGCAACTTTTCAAACTATACCAGTGGCTTTTGCTGTTGAGCCACCTGGCAAGCTGACTGCTACATTTCAGTGAACTCTCAAGGAAAGAAGCAATGGCTAAATGGTTAATGGACTAAAGTCTTTATGGAAAGGTCCTGGTTTATCACTCAATAAATATTCCAACCCATGATAAAAAAATTCCTTGTTTTGTCAGTTTACCTCAGTTGATGAAGAGACAATTGCTCCAGAAGAGCTGTAGCTAACTCCTCTCCAGCTACAAGCAACAGAGTAACAGCCACATCATGGTAACCCTTTCAAAATGATAATCAAAAGTATTTGATTAATTATTATAAATGTTGTAATCTACCCAAAAAAAAAACGAAAGGGTCCTCTATGCCACTCAGAACTCAGGTTCCTCCTCGTGTATATGACTATAACATACATAATTGCCTTAATAAATAACAAACAATTTTATTATTATTAATAATAAAATTAATAATTTTATTTATTATTCATAAATAATGGCATACCTGATAATAATGCAGATCCTGATTTCTACACAATACTCTCATGATGATCCTCACCAGCTGCTCTTGAAGGGCACGCCGCCTTGATGCTCTCATCTCTGATTCCAAATGAAAGTAAGAAAACTGTAACCAGAGGTCTGAATTTTTTACTGTAAATTGGGTGGTTGAGGAAGATGGAATGACCAAAAGAGTCTTAATAAACTCTAAGCCACATTATAAAACAGTCCAAAACTACTCACAATAGATTCAAAGAGAATGGGAGCACTAGTAATAACTAAACTATGGGTATCTTACATTGCTATCAATCAAAACATCAGTTGAAAGTTACTGTAAAGGAACCATTAAATCTGACAAAAAAAAAATCACGTTGAGACATTGTATAAAGAGAGTACATAATTATTGATTCACCTATTAGAAATATTTGACAGAAGAAGAGAGGAAACAGCAGAATACAGGCTACATGATTGAGGACATGACCAAGATTGTCCCAAAGAAACCCAAGTGATTGGGAGGGTATACTTATGCCCAGTTTCCATTTGATCACCAGAATAGACCTAATTGCCCTGAATTTTAGTGTATTTGAGATGAGACAGACAACCATAAGAAATCTAAACCCTCAGACACTGCAAGTGTCCATATATGACCCAAAAATAAGCTTCAGCCCTGATACCACTGTACAACTACATGTAGCAGTCGAGTAACTTACCAGAGGGAAACCTCCTGTGTGATCGATCAACATCTAAGTTTACTTGTCTCCAATACTTGTGTACTTGAAACTGTTCCAACTCAGAATTGTCTTTGGGAAAAATAAATCGTTGCAATGCAATCTTTGTCACATTCTCAGGGGATTTAATATGTTTTGAAGAAGATGGAAACAACTGCCAAGTTCACAGCCTTGGGCAGTTTGATATTCACTCTTATGTTGTCAATTTCAGAGAAAGTAGGGGGTTATTTAGCCTGACACAGATGGCAAATTTTTCAGATACTGAATCTTGTTGAACCTCCTGTCTTCCTGTAGCTGTATCTTACTTAAAGAATAAAATCCCAGAAGTGTCTCAGTGGCAAAACACATAAAAAGCTAAGTCCCTTACCAGATTTCACACGTCAGGCAGATCTGATTTCACAGTTAGATGCAATATCAGCTGAGCTACAAGAAAATGTTTTGGTGAATTTGTACATATACTTGGTTTGCATATTTTTACCTATCTTCTTGTCTTTGTTTCTTGAAATCTCCAGTGTATTGACATTGAGTAGTTTAGACCACACTTTACACCTCAAGTCTACAGCAATGTAGCCATCAGCTGTGATGCTCAGGTCTTTCAGTGATGGCACATCCACTGGGTCTGAATCTAAAGCATCTGTTATCCTGCGAATCTTACCTCGCAGACGGGCCTCTGACACTGCAAAGGAAATTATAACAGCTACAAAAGATACTGTATTTCCTCTGATAAGCTCCAAGGCACTTATTTAAAATTTTGGCAATAACCCTTTAACTCCTAGAAGTGATTCACATGTAACTTCTTCCGAAAATATCCATCCACTATCCAGCAAACAGGTAATGAGAGTACTCAAGTGTATCAGGTAGAAGTTTTTATCTTGATCTAACACCAAATTCTTGCAACTAATTTACAAAGAAATGTGTAGCAGCTAGAGGGGAGAATTAACTATCAGATCCTGCGAGTTGAAGGGTTAAGGGGGTACGTGCTCAAGGGGGGTTCTTATTATTCTCCTGTACCAATTCCACCATAGATGAAGCATACAAAGTTTTAAATTAAGTGTATACCTACTGTTTAAGAAAGTTACTGAGGAGAGGGAGTGTTTGTTTGACATTATGGGGGTGGTGGGTGCATATTTGGGGAGGGTGCTTATTAGAGTGTTGAGGCTTATTCAAGGAAATGCAAAAACTAAAAATATTTCCCTCAAGTTAAAATAAAACCAATCATGTCAACCTGTGCATATGTGTGATATTTTCAGCTTATGAATTTAAGTTGTAAATTCAATGTTTGTTGATTCCTGTTTATCTTTGTTTTGGAATACTTCTCTTATGCTTTGTGCAAAGGAAAAAACACAGCAAACTAGTCAAAACGATTTCAACCTGAATTTCGTCTTAAAATACAACATAAAATCACCGTGAAAAGATGGAAGGAAAGATCCAGGTGGTACAAAATAATGTAATAATGTGTGACAAGGGTCACAACTCATGATTCATTTATGAAAGACAAACAAATTGCACTCTTTACTCACTATAACTGTCACTGTCATTTGACTGTTTGCCCTTGAAGCTCACAGTTTTACCTGAGCTTTGCTTTCTATAAAATTATTCACATCCCAACACAGATATTGTCAAAAAATATCTGTGCAAACCTTTCTGTCAAATGGTGGTTATTGTTCATATATTCTCTGTTTTAATGTACAATGATAGGCTAGGACTATGGTAAAGAAAAAAAGCTGTTCTAACTGGCTGACTGACTGACTGACTGACTGTCAGTTGTCAATCAGCCAACTTGTTGGGTGGTTGTCTTGGTAACTGGTCAAGTTGCCTGAGAGTCATCTCCCCCAAAGTCATGTTGCCTGAAATTTTAGTAATGTCGCCCGAAAAAAAAAAAGTCAAGTCACTTGAAGAAACAAATACGAAAAAGATCAGAATTTCAGACTGTAAATAGGCAATTACACTGAGAAATTTTTTATCACTATAGCACTCTTTGTTTCCAACAACACCATGAAGATTCTAAAAGCGTTGTTCGTTTCTAACAACAAAGGGAAGTGTTCTCCATTTATGACAAAAAAAATGAAGCCTTGTTCGTTTGGTATGTACTTGTTTCTTACTCGCGGACAATTCGTAAGCTTGGAAAACTCTTGTTTCTCAAAATGTCATGAAGACTTTGACAACACAGAAATCGATTGTATGGTCAGAATTGAAATATGTTTGAGTAATGACTCTAAAAGTATTGTTTGTTTCTAACAACAGAGGGAAGCATTGTTGGTTGAAACAAAGAGCGCTTTAGTGATAAAAATTTCTCAACGTTACTGCCTATTTAAAGTCTGAAATTCTGACCTTTTTAGTATTTGTTTCTTTGGGTGACATGACTTCAGGTGAAATGACTCTTGGGCGACATGACTTTTGGGCGACTTGACATTGTCTTCCCTCTGTCATTTGTGTCTACCAACTGCTGGTTAACTGTCAGCACAAAAATGGCCATTTTCTGAAAGATTGCTGACAATTTTTTTAAGCCAGTTCATGGCCATACCATGAGAGGATAACACAGGCTAATGTAAAGAACTGCTCCCAAACATAGATTGTCAGTTGTTTTCTGGTCACAATTGAATTTACTTGCACAATTTGAACCAATAGTTGGCTGACAGTTTTCTTTAACTTAAGCAAAGACCAGCTGTTGGCCGAGAGTCGGTGAAGTTTCAGCAGTATGCATGTTAGATCTTGTCATCATTATATATGCCGTGACACCGCCAACCAACACAGCTCGTCTCGATTAAGTAGTCCGGCTAGCTGTAGCTAGCGCTTTGCTTTATTTTCCCCCCCGCACTTTATAATTTTTGGCCTAACCCAGCAAACCCATGTAATCGAAGGAAACATATTAGAATATACTTACAGTAGTACATCATCTGTCCTACGATGCCCGCGTTCGGATTTTTCGTTTTTCCGACGTAAACTTTCCTCTTGTACGTGTAATGTGGAGGTTCTCTTCGTGCCAGAGCGGCCATGTTGATGTTGTCAAACCTGCTCACTTTACTTAATTACGACCTTCAAAAATTTCAGACGATGACTAAAACCACACCTACATAGTCTATCGCGAAGTTTTATTTCTCCATCTTTAAATTTCTATCGCATTTTGGGAGTGAAATTGGCTATATTTCTCGCCGAATCTTCGGCGTTTAACGCCGATATCACCTCCATTTTGTTTCCTGTTGAGAAAACTGCTGACTCCATTGTTACGGTCTGCGGCTTCACAAGACACTTAATAACCAAAACAGCTGCCAAAAGACAGCTATCAATGTTGTCCATGTCCCTCACGGTCAGGGACCCCTCAAGATCCCTCAAGCTCTTAGTTGACGGGAGAAGGGTTAGGAAATTTGTAGTAATTTTCCTGACATACCAAAACAAAACAAAATAGATGGGACCTTGTTCTTTCTACAAGAATGAAAGACAGTGATATAGACAGAGACAGAGGATAGATCTTCCCTCAATGGAATACCTTTTGGAATTCCTTATGGAGGTATCCTGCCTAGCTCCAAAAATCCGGGGTTTTTTATATTGCAAGTAGGCTTTGCAAAAGAGTCAAAGTGAAGAATTGGTAAAATTCCCTCTTAGTTTTCTGCTCAAAGCCTGATATATTTGGTTATTTCTATCAACCTTGTCCCAAAGAGTATTTCATTTATTATTTATGATTTATTTCAAGCGCAAAAGACAGATAACTTTACACACTCTTGTGGTTCCCTAGAAAATCATCATGTTAGAAACACGAGCCCATTTTCAGACCAATTTGGCCCAACCAGAATCTTTAAAGCTGTCAGGACTTTTAATTAGTATTTAGAGAGAAGCACATCAGCAAATTCCCCACCAAACAGTTATTCAGTCATAAAATTTTAATGCTGACTAGTAATTATTAGGATTTGCATGTATTTCTCTATTCAAAATTAAGATTTCTCTTCCAGAATTTTCCCAAATCAATAAAATTCTCCAAAATCAAGTTAATGAGATCACATCGCAATAGGCTTGAGGGTTGTGGGACTTATCCCAGAGTAGAAATTTCTGAAATTCAATTTGGCCAAGATAGTTATCTATAATTTTGCTTCCTTACAAAGATCTTTCCCAGCAATTAAGTTGAACCAGAGATCTCCTTTTGAGAACTTCAATTCTACTTTCTTTTCTGAACTACAGCCAGGTTATTTCGAATTTCAGTTTACAAATGATTTCTTTCTTGCGAATATCTTGATTTCCTTCTCAACACCAAGAGATATTGACCAGCTACAGTGCAAGTGGCATACACTGGTGCTCTTAGGATTAAAAAAGAATAAAAATAAAGCACATACGCTTTTCAGTGTATAAAACTGCCAGTGTAAACATCTCCTCAGAGCATAATTTTCACCTCGTGTTAAAGAAGATAACAACATAACTTGCACAAATGAGAATATGTGCAGCTAATTAAAGCATTTGCTTTAAGATGTTTCATGACAACTTTTTTGAGATTACCTTGTTTGTATGGCACTTCAAGGTAAATTTTCTAACAATCAGGGATTGAATTGGATCTACAGTATACTTCATAACCAATCTCTCACTTGCTGATATAAATTCTGCACAACCTTCTCATCCAAATAAATAAAAGGGGTAAGTTTCCAAAGAAACTGTGGTGCTGTATTGGAGGGAGAGTATAATAGACAGGGTAATTAAAGTATTAACATCTGAGTTTATAACATAAATTAGCCACCAATAAGAGTTTCAAAGCTGATTTTTCAAGCGTTGGCCCTTCATCTCAACTAAATAGATGCAAAATTCACACGAATTGCACCTTTGGTTACCCAAATTTCTCCCACACTGATACTACAAACACATTTGCTCCTTGCTCACCTTGTGATATTTTATCAAATGCATGGACACTGATTAATTTTCAACTTAGATAATGACCAAATTTGGATTATAGGTCTGTGTGCAAGTTTTTTGATGTGTTCAACAGATCTGGTGTGCAACACATGCATCTAAAAGGTTGTGAGAGTTAGAGCTACTGAGAATGTCAAACATCTCAGAATGCATGTACATGCAAACCATTTACAAATTTTATCTTAGATAATTGGCATTTAAAATCAAGAACGACTCAACAAAATTTGTACACATTTTATTGATTAAATTTCCTACAATTGCACCGTAAGACGTGGATGCTTTTCACTTTCAGTCAATTTTCTTTCATGTATCAAAGCTGATGGAAAATACCAGAAATCCATTGACATGTTTCCTACGATGGCATCGTGCATCGGCAGCATTGATAACAACTTTTATTATTCTTAACTTCACCTTCCGGTCAACATTTTTAACGATTCAAAATATTTTGGATATACACCGGCCGAGCAAGGCGCAATGCCATAGTGGCTACATTTTCTTCTCATTGGTCTTATGAAAGTCCTTCAGTTTGTTCTTTACTATCAGCCGGAACATGAATTGTGAAACCCAGCGAAAAGCATTCGCAACTGTTAGAAATCGCTACATGTAGTAAGTACCATTCTCAGTTTTGATGATAGGAAAACGTAACAGAGTTTAGGATATGACAATTAATCTTTGACAGACATCGAGACGGCTGCGCTAACTACGATCAAAATAACAGGAATAGACCGTGGACTGTTACACAGGAATAAAGACATAAAGCTTCTCTACTAGTATTTTGTATTTTTTTTTTGATGTGATCATCATTACGAGATAAACTCAATTATAAAAAATTACAGTTAAATGATTGTTGTACAACCTTTCCTTCCCTTTCCTGCTTCCTCTTTCCCTTTCTCTCTCCATCCTCGGTTTACATTCGGCGGAAAACTCCAAGCTGCCTACGGCAATTGGGGCAGGAATGAACGGCATCCTGCATGCCGTCGATACAGAACGGAATCAAACAACAACCAGCCCAACAGCCGACAAGGATCAGTCCTCCACAAGCGAGCCAAGCCAGTGTACCAGGAGTGTACTGCACAGAAGTAACAATGGTTGCAGTGCAGTACGGGCACACCATCGACACAGGAGCTTCGCCATACATCGCATTCCCCACAACCACAGTTTGCGGCTGCTGTATGATTGTAGTAGTTTGAGTGGTCTGAGCAGACGGAGGCGGCCCGTAGCCTTGAGGTGGCGGTCCATACCCTTGTGGTGGTGGCCCATACCCTGGCCCAGGTGGTGGGTAACTTTGTGGTGGAGGGTAACCTGGCTGTTGTGGATAGGCTGGCGGCCCTGAAGGCGGATAACCGGCCTGAGGTGGTTGATAAGGAGGAGGTCTAGGGTCCGCCATTATGGATGTATTCGATCGAGCACGGAAGCAGTTATGACTATTCTTTTCAGCAACCTTCTAGCGCCTTTCGATGCTTCGAACGCTCAAACTAACTCAAAGTTATATTCAGTCCTTCAATTTCAAGGCTACAAAGGAGGAAGACGTCTAAGTCACCTCGAAGGTTCGACGCAGAAAACTTTAAACGAATCTTCTTTATTTCGTCACGTGATGTTGCTTTACCGCAACATGACGTCAATCTCTTATTTGTTTCCAACACAACGAGCTGAGTAGGAGTGAAATTGCGTTGGCGTGAAGGTCGAATAGAGTCGTGGCATTGAAAGTTGTCGTATGGGAAGGATGTTTAACCCTTTAACTCCCATGTCTGACCAAGACAGAATTTCTCTTTACAATATATATACAATTTCAAGCAGACAGGTGATGAGAATAAGGAAATATATTAATCAGTGGATTAGTAGTTGATCTAATACCAAATTCTCCAAACTAACATCTCAAGAACTATATAGCAGACAGTGAGGACAATTACTAAGGAGATCTTGGGAGTAAAAGGGTCAATAAAAACATTTATTCAAAATAATTTCCGATACTAATCAACAGCGTAATTAAGCGACACAGGCGGTCCAGGGACCCGTTTCTCGAAAGTCCTGGTAACTTGACGGGCTCGAAAAGCTGTTCTGTTTTAATTCAGAAAAGAGTTTCGAAAGTTTTGAGAATCATACAAAAAATATATCAGCTAAAGAAACAAAATGGACTGGTTACGGTGCCAGAACCTACTTCTCTATTCTTTAAAGTTTTACTTTAGAATTTGGCTTCTTGTTGACCTATGTCACTAAAGGAAAACCACTCTTTTTCAATGATATGCTGCAGCCAAACTATTTTTCCCTCCCAAAAATTATGCGCTTCACAAAACGTTCGTCACCTTTTATTTCATTTATGAAACTTTTTATTGCTTCACTTTATTTTATTATGCTAATATATATATACATATATATATATATATATATCAATCATATATTTGTTTGAAAATACATGTTTGGGAACGAACTTATGAACCAGTCATTATCTTACACTTGAAGGGGTGGGGGAGAGAATGGATGATTTTTCTTGGGGGTGTGATATTTTTGCGTTTTTTTTTCTCGTCATATATGCATATATTTAACTTTTACATATATTTATATACACATCTGTATTTTATCTGTCGAGCGTTTTCAACATGAGCCATTAGGCTCGGGGGATTGGGTAACCACCCCCCACGTGGGTATTGTATTGTATTGTAAATTGTATTGTATTGTAAATTGTATTGTATTGTATTGGCTCACATGGTTTTCACGGAGAACAGAGGGGGTATTGACCGCCAATTAACTGCAAATGAGGAGGGGGGTATCACATGGTTTTCACGGGGAACAGAGGGGGGTATTGACCACAATTACCTGAAATATTGACTGCCAATTAACTGCAAATGAGGAGGAGGGATCACATGGTTTTCAGGGGGAACAGAGGGGTATTGACCGCCAATTAACTGCAAATGAGGAGGGGGGGATCACATGGTTTTCAGGGGAACAGAGGGGGTATTGACTGCCAATTAACTGCAAATGAGGAGGAGGGATCACATGGTTTTCAGGGGGAACAGAGGGGGTATTGACCGCCAATTAACTGCAAATGAGGAGGGGGATCACATGGTTTTCAGGGGGAACAGAGGGGGTATTGACCGCCAATTAACTGCAAATGAGGAGGGGGGATCACATGGTTTTCAGGGGGAACAGAGGGGGTATTGACCGCCAATTAACTGCAAATGAGGAGGGGGGGAACACATGGTTTTCAGGGAGAACAGAGGGGGTATTGACCGCCAATTACCTGCAAATGAGGAGGGGGGAACACATGGTTTTCAGGGGGAACAGCGGGGGTATTGACCGCCAATTACCTGCAAATGAGGAGGGGGATCACATGGTTTTCAGAGGGAACAGAGGGGTATTGACCGCCAATTGACTGCAAATGAGGAGGGGGGAACACATGATTTTCAGGGGGAACAGAGGGGGTATTGACCGCCAATTGACTGCAAATGAGGAGGGGGGGAACACATGGTTTTCAGGGGCAACAGAAGGGGTATTGACCGCCAATTGACTGCAAATGAGGAGGGGGGATCATAAGAATATTTCAGCACCTTGAGGGGGGTCAGGTAGATCTTATCGTGACGCAATCAAAATCCTCCGACACCCAGGCGATAAATTATAGTGACTGATCTTATTGTTAAAGAGAGACTTAATCCGAATTGAACACCTCAAATGTAAAACGTTGTTATTTGATAAGTTAATCGTTACATTCACAATCTAACATTGTTTAACCTAGGCTTAATTCGATCGTTTATTAGATTCGATACGGAACGTTTCCTTTGCTGTTGCTCTCCTACGCAAGTGTTGTTCACAAACTTTATAATTGTAACTTGATGAGAAAGAAAAAAAAGGAACGAACTAACTGGTCCTAATGACAACGAATTTAACCTTAACGAAAGCGAACTCGGAAAAGATAAGAATTGCACGTTTAGAACGTTGAGTAGTTTATTTGTGCCTCTGTGTACTCGTATTCACGTGCACCCTTGTTCATCATTGGTCCTTTTGTCTAAGTGTTATGGATATTTTAAACACTCACTCTCCTAACTCGTGCTTGCTTTCGTTCAGTAGAAAATTCTGGTTTCATTAAGTCTTTGGTTCTTTTTTCGGGGACAAGAAAACACTATCGTCATAAATATAAGTTTTCGACCTTTTCTCCTTAACTGAAGTGTTCTAAAACTACAGCGACAGAAATAGCTTGTTGATTGCAGTATTGTCTTTTGTCCTCAGCATGACAATACACAAAATAAGGATTGAAGGATGGTTAGTTCACTTTACATTCATCACTTATGTGGTCCTTGTCTGAGGGTGTGGCGAGTCGAATCACTTCTGAAGCAGTCTCATTTGATCTGCAGTCATGTAATTCCTGATTACTGACACAGTCCCCAGGCATTTCTACATTTTCTACATAACATGCTACCAGAAAGCGAAAAGGTGGTCCAGTCCTGCATTCTATTGATACTTTCCCGTGACCAATGATCACAGACTGTTGTGTTATGTCCATACTTCTCTCTAAAACATATTTCCCTTCTTTTATCAAGATGATCTGATCCTTCCCCCTCAGTTTCTTGGCATTTTCAAAAACACACTGCAGCTGGTCCGACCTTTCAACAACGTGGACTTGAAGCTCTCCATAGTGCTGAATAACTTCCGACACATCCCGACCTCGGCTTAGGTGTTTAAACACTGCGGCAGTGGCCAGTGCTTCCGGCTTTCTGTCAAGTTCTGATAAGGCTACTGCTTTGGTGTGGTAACCAAGCAGCCAGGAAGGGTCGGCCTTGATGGCAGCATCTGCATCGTTTAGTGCAAGTTGTAATAAAGACCTCTTCTTGGACGAAATAAATTGTTGTTGTTGAGCAGATTTTAAGTAGGCTAAAGCCCTGCTGGTGAGAATATTTGGATGGTTTGGACATGAAACAAGAGCTTCTTTATACAATCCCAAAGCTGTATTAATATGGCCACCTTCGAGACATAATTTTGCCTTTTCTATAAGTCTTTGAATGGACTCCTCTGTCGGCGTAAGTACAATGTTCTCCATGTAAATGGTTGGATCAATCTTTAATGGAACACCTTTAGAGCACATAACTTGGACGTCGCCAAGACCAACAACAACACAATTTTCGGGAATAGCCAAGGGCTCTGGAAGCTGGTACCTTCCTTCTTTTATTACAATCACTAGATTCGGGACGTTTGTTTTCTCAGTTGCGGTGTGAAGGTCCTGCATTGAGTTCACGATCTGTACGTTACAAGATCCAAAGCGACTAACCACAACTGGAATATCTGGGCATTTCGACGGAAACAGATTCTGAGTAACAGCAGCTGCCGCAAGTGAAGGACCTCGTTCGCCAAGATGAGCAAGGCAGACAGCCTTCCAATAATACCCTTTCACCCAAGAGGGGTCTGCTGAAATTGCATTCTGTGAATCATGCAAGGCTTCTCGAAGGTATTTCTGTCTATGTTCCACTGAGCATTGCTTCTCCGATAGTTTTACATTTGTTGCAGCCCTATTACTCAGCAACTTGGCATCGTTTGGTGATAGAATTAAACCTTGACTATAATGTTTATGTGCGCCTAAATAATCCTCCGCCTTGAACAATCTATTTCCATCATCTTTCAGTCTTCTGGAAAAGTACATGTTGGTATCAATTGGCGGCAAGCCGTGGTTGGCTTGCATTGTTGTTAGTGTCAGGCACTGCTTCAGCAACTCACAGCATTCCTTTGCATTCACACTATTTCCTAAGAACTCGTATGCTTCTTTCAAATCATTATAATTTCCAACTAGCTGTGGATGAACCTCACCAAAACATTTCTTCCGAATTTCCAATGAGATCTGTGCTACTGTCAAGAAAATGTTTCCTCTCTTTATGGAGAAAGCACCTCGGCTTCCTTTTTTGTTTTCATTGAAATTCTCATGCAATCAATCAGATCATCTAAAACGTCGCATGCGTGGGCACTGCTTCCATCCTCGATGGTGGTTGCATTTGTTTCCAAGCGACCGTTAATCACGCTCTTGTGTATCTGAGGCCATTTCTCTTTCAGGATATTCAGCAGCATGTCTTCCGACTTCTGCGTCTCAAAATGGCTGAGTATACTAAGAGCGGCGGTCATTCCTCTTAAGTACAAATCAGACTCATGTGGCATTGAACTGCTTATCTCCACCATTTCGTCAGCATAGGGCTTAGCCTCGCCAAGCTTTCCCTCGTTGTGGAGATGACAAGCGATGTACTGAAGAACACGTAACAGCAGGGGCTTATCTGGAGGATTTATTCTCCTGGCACGCTCCAAGGCATTCTGATAACGTTTCATAACTGGTTTGTAATTACAAGAAGACACGAAGTTTTCTGCTCTTCCTGTCAAAAGCTGAAGCTCTACAAAACAACTATCACTTAGTCTCAATTTCTCAAGTTCTAGTAATGCTTTGTAATTTTTCTCCCATTGTCCTTCCAAGGCATAAAAGGAAGCTTTGTGCTGAAGGACGCGATATTTAGTATCGTCGTCTATGATGGCACCAGACTCCTCCAGCTCGCGGAGTTTCTGTACAGTTTCGTCAGCCAGAATCTTTGACTCAAGGCGACTTTGTGAGTCCATGCAATTTTTCTTACTGACAATTGCACTCAACATCGTATCCAAAATGTTTTGTTCACCTCCAGAACACATTTTTCGTACTTGTAATAAGAATTCTGCGAATTCAGCTTTCAGTCTATAAAAGGATATGTCCACCCCAGCAAGCGGTCTACAAACCAACACAATCGAGAGAAGGTCTTATCTCTGTATAGGACACGGACGAAGCTTCCCTTTGAAGACTCGATCTGTGTCTTTAAATGATCCTTCACCTGCCTGAAATTGAATAAGAGGGTAATGAGGATATTTTTGTCCTCTTCCTTCATCTCCAACAAGTCTCTCGTGTCGTTATTTAGTGTTACATTTGCACAATTTTCACTTCTCTTGGTTAAAGCACAGTGAATAACGCGCATGGCTGCCACCAAAGTCTCTTCCTTTAGTGATGGGGTTAGGCTATCTCGAACCACCTCTTGAACAAGTTTGTGAACACCAAATACCCTGTTACGCTGATCCACCGAGAAAAGAGAGTAACAGGTCAGTACCTCGAGGATGTGAGCAGTGTCAATCTCAGAACGCGCAGCGTCTCTCAACTCTACTTGATTTAGAGCAGGCAGCCCAGGATTTATGACGTCTAGAGGAATACTTTCAGACGTCAGAAAGGATGCAATGCGCATCATGGTGGCGGCAGCGGGTGATTTTTCGATTACGAATGAAAAATTCATCTCCCACGTGGTGTGTACAGAGAGACGATGCTGTGCTTCTACACTTAGGGCAGTGACCGACTTCTGCTGTAGAAGTCGGAGCTTTACATGACGATACTTGTCAAGGTAATCTTTGAAGGTAATAGAAATAGGAAGAGCAGATAGGTAAGCTGCTGCTTGCTCGAGGGCTAATGGAAGACCCCCTAATTCTTTTGCCAAATCAATTGCTCCCTGGTAAAGTGATTCCCCTTCAATTCCTGTTCTTCGAATTAGGAACAAGGCACCTTCTTCTTCACTGAAGCACTGCAGCTCTAAGCAGTTAGTAGGGGACAGCCTCAAGAATGTTGCGGTGTCTTTTGCATTTTTTCTTGTTGTAAGCAGTATGTGTCCATTCTTGGGCGCTCTTGCATTTCTTTGCCAAGGCCCTTTGCATATTTTCTTTACACCTGTAGGACATGTTGGACTTCTTAAGTCATCTGCGTTGTCCACTACGAGAAGCCATGGGCGACTTTCATAGGACAGTAGAGTCAGAAATCTGTTTAGGGAGTCATCAACGTTTTCTCTTGTGGACGCAGCCACATTTAAGAGCGCAAGGTTCTCGGCAACTGATTTACTTACATTTTCATCACTTTCCCCATTAACCCAGAACACTCCACCTGTGAAGTGATTCATCCATCTCCAAGCAAATTCTACAGCCAGTGAGGTCTTGCCACATCCTCCGAGGCCACAAATTGTTTTGGTGCAGCATGATGTTTTTGGTGGACTTTCAGAATTCTGATCCCGGACTAAATTTTTTTTTAACCAGACAAGAGCGTTCTCACGACCAGTGAACTCTTGTAGTTTCTGTGGCGCAGCACAAATTGCGTTCTTACTGTCTCCACTCTGTCCTGGTTGAAATTTCGCCTTTAGCGTTTCTACTTCACTTGTCATTTCCTTTACTTCAGATTTGATCCAATGTGGCAACTTTACTTTGTGTGGTGTTTAGTTCCATTACGACGTTACACATACAACTTTTTACATCGTCCAGATCCTCGCTAATGACATCTAAGGCACCTTGCAAATCATCACGCTCTTTAAGTGACATATTGAAACTTTCTACAGCTGTCTGTATCGTGGACATTTTTGCTTTAAGGTCTGAAACTTCTTCCACTACGTTATTCCGCTGCTCTTGAATTTTTGCAATTTCTTCTCCATGCAATCGAGCTTGTTCTTTCAGATTGTATGTCTCTTTCCCTGATAATTCTTCTGCTCTTCTTATCTTGGCATCTAGGTCAGTAACTCTATTTCGATCTTCATGTAGCTCTGTTCTCAGTACCATTTGCTTCTCCCTCACGTTTGCAATTTCTTCTCCTTTTAAATCAACTTGTTCCTGTACCTCAGATAAGTCATCCTTGAACTTTATTAGGTCGGTAACTAACGACTGCCGAAGCAAATAAAGGGCCTCAACTTCGGACTCCCTGACGGTTAGAAGACCATGACGGAACAAATCTTGCAGGTTTTTGGAAGAGTCTTGGGCTGCCTTGTCAGCACGAAACACTTGGTCATTTAGAAGGCCATTGAGATGCCCAAGTATGGTTTTGACATCTGCATCTTTGAGTTCTTGCTTTGGAGAATGGGCCCAGCGATTTCTACCCTCGTCCCGCACTGAGCGCAAAACTGCACGACTGACTGGAGGATTGATAAAAGGGCACCACTCTAACAGGTTTAAAAGTCCCCCGATGTCTGTCGTGTTGGCATCAGTGATGTCCCCTTTACGAGTTCCAAGGGTTGGCATGAAAACTTTAGCTATCTCCCATGCCCCTGTCGCAGAGCCCCACTGTTGTCTATCACTGTTGTCCCAACAAATCTTTGGTCGTGGGGACTTGTGGAGGCGCTCCAGCTCCTTCTTCCACATGCTACAAGTGGCACACTTGGAAGAGTGACGCGTACAGATACATGGGGGAAGTGCTTGTAGAGGAGGGTTAGATTTGATAAACTGGTACCAAGCCACCATTTTCCCTTGGATTAACTGTGTTATTCCATTTTTGGTTATGTTTAAGGCACATCCAACCAATATCCAGTTTTTGTGCTCTTTTTTATCAAGATCTACCGTCCAGCTAACAGTAGTCATCTTGTCACCTCCTTTGACAGAACTAAAATTCTAGGAAATAGTTGATGATCGTTTATATCCTGCAACAAGGATTGACGATATCGTAAGGTTTGACATCCTTTGGTGCCTGATAGACCGGGGGAGTCGAGATAGGGATGAAAGATTGAAGATATTGGGAAATACTGAGGTACCTAAATGGGGAACCTAAATGCATAAGCAGTCAGGGGGTTAGTTCGAGGACCAAATAATTGAGGAACCCTAGGGGATTTCATATCGGGGATTCGAGATAGAGTGGTCTAATAATACTGTGGGGATAAAGATCCCACGGGTTGGAGGTAACGAAGGACTCCATCGAGTATCAAATTCAATTTACCAGAGGGTTCGAGATACAGAGGGAAACGAGATGCCTGGGAGTTAGAAGTATTTGATATGGGGATCTAAGATGCTTAAGTCACAGAGGTAACGGGAGGAGGTCACATAGCCCTATGCACAAGAAATTAATAACAAAAAACCGCTGATATGTTAAACGGAGAAAAATAATGAACCGAGCAAGTCCTTCCTGATCTGCAGCACCCGTTTTAGGTATGACAAGATAAGGAATTTTCGGGTTTATATGGTTGATGTACACCTAATTTCATCGAACCTACAATAAAAGAATATATAACCTTTCATAATCTACCGAACCCCAGCCGTAGCTTAAAAAGGCATTGTTACGAGGAACTTGAATATGATTAGGTTCTTCGAATCATTATTTAAATCCAGGTGTAAACAGCTAGATAGTGGTTGCAATATCAGTTTAAAGTAACCATGGGCAGGAGCCCATTACTTACTTTAGTCTTAGGCTCCTGCGCTGGGACTAAATAAAGGTTTTGGAAAGCTTGAGGCGATTTGTTCCGTAGGAAAGTTCAACAAACGCTGTATTAGGGTCTATCAGGTACCTGTATTATTCGACTTTACAATGTTCTTTTTTAATGAGAACCTTTTTTAGAAGAACGTTCAGACAGAGATTAACCAAAATTTAAGAACATAATAAGAACCCAGCCAGGCTGAGAGTCAGTTAAGAACGACTATTTTGCCCATTTTTTTTTAAGAGAAGTATGCAAATAAAGGAAAAGAAATATGAAACTGTGCTCTAACAGGACAATTAACTTAAATACTTAGGGATATGAAACCAATAACTCAAACCAATAACTCAAATCTGGCTTGGTAGAACATAACGTGATCATAAAAACAGCTCATAAAATCATAAATAAACAAGGTAAGAGTGTCATGCTAGTTTTTTTTTTACAAACTGTGGTGATTTATGCTAGTAAACGGTGGCGACAAGTATGCACACTATGTATATTTCATAGTCGCTAGCAGGTAAATTTTGCCGAACTTTGAGTTCGTCTCAAGAGAGAACAACACAAATACACAAGGAAATTTTTACAGTGACTTTTCAACCATCCTTTTGTCTTTTAAAAGCTGGAAGCTCAGTAGATTCTGTCATATCGGTCATTGTTAAAACTGTCTTTGTTTTGATGCTACTATTCGACATAGGAAAAGCATGTCGGACAAAAATATTTACCAAAAAATAAATATTACTTTGCCAGGTTCAATGATGACAGGGGATTAAGTTTAGATGATAAAACAAAGGATTAAGTTACATGAGGTCACACAACTCGGATAATATTCACGGTGAAAATTTGCATATTTGAGCGGTCGAACGAAAAAAATCATTTCTCGAAAACTAAAATATGTTTTCACAAAAAAACTACACCACAATTATTAAGACATATTGGGCTACAAAATATGAAAGTAGGAGTGAAAGTAAATTTTGGGTGACCTGCCGCTGTTTGTCTGATGCATGCCGACATTAGCTCTTAAAAACGTTTTCAGGCTCAAGTCGCAATAAAAAATAAGAAGATTCAGCCTTAGCCCAAAAATTAGGCTTGTTAAAAAAAAAACAAACTAGGGTATACAAAGATGACTTCTATCTTGTGAGGCAGGTGCCTTCGTGCCGGGTAAAGACAGATCAGGAAAAAAATGTGGTCCGTAGTTGATACTCTGTATCCCCAACCTCTATCTAAAGTTATTCAGCAAATCGTAGCCGATGAATTCAAATGCAGAAAGTCTCGTAATCCCTTCTCGACCAAATATTGAGCATCAATGACAGTGAATGCCAAATAATGGAAATATAAATTTGATGCAATAATTGGATTCAACTTGAACAAAACGGCCACAATCCTCCAGATAGCTACAGTGTTCATTATCGGACAAAACAGAATGATCGAAGGAATCCAAATTTGCATAGTGTAAACCTTTATCAGACCATGGTAAGGGAACAGTGCAGTTCAACCTAGATTTAATAAACACATAAAACGGGAGTTTCGACTTTAAAAACGGCTTTGATTTAGTGGGTACTGCTTCATACAATACCAGCGACTTTATCGTCGGTATCTTGATGAATCAATGTTGAATTTCCTCGACTGAATCAAAAGTTGCACTATGTCGCAATATTCATGCAGCGACGCAAAATTAATCATGGCGGTCGAGATTAATGTACACGAATGTCGCCGTCACGACGAATGCTACGGCGCAAGTGACGTCTCAAAGCACATGAAGAGGAATCTTAACTGGTGAAAGATAAAATTGCACAAAAATTGAATTCAGCTAGATGACAATTAGAGGATCACCATTTCTTCAGTGTGCTCTTAAAGAATCGGTAACCTACTCCTTTGATTTCGTTAAATTAATTGATACAAGCAATAGACGGACTGATTCTGGTGACAACATGCAACAGCCTCTCATGGGAGAGACTGCAATGTTTACATTGGGGAAACGTTTAGTGTCACTTTCCTCGTTAAGAGCAATACTTATCGCTGTCCTGAATTATAGCGACGTAGTTTGATCGCTCGTCGCGGATTATGAAATTTCGTTGCTCCTATCCCTTGAAGGGCATCTTGTTTGGGTTGACTTAATTACAAGTTTATTTCAATACCTGAAAAGTTCGGTTTCTTCATTAATCAGCTACGGAAAAAAACATTCCGAGGCTCTTAGAGCGACCTCACAGCAATTTTAAAATCAACAAGTAGAACGAATAAGAGTGGTATGCTAGTACGGTAGTCGTCGAATGTATGAGGGAAATTCAAAAGGTCCCCTTAAAGAAAGCCGGAAAATACATGTTCTCTATGACCTAATATTCACTTGATAATAATCATACCTCTGATACCGTACAGTAGTAGAAAGTAGAGAGATTGTTCACCTCACCTCAATCAAACGCCATTGCTTCATTCCATCTTCGAACGAAGGCGGAAATGGGATATCGCATACACCAGCGTAAAATGTTGCTACTTTCCAGTCTCCCCGCTTTTTTAATGAACTTGTTTTCCAGTTTTTTTTTTCAACTCGACATGGTTATGACAAGAAAAATTGATACACATGCATAGACAGATATCACAGTGTTCACATAATACGTACTGAAAATTTCAAGTAAATGCGACTCATATCATCGAGAAAAGTGGGGATATTTATTGAAAATTATATTTCCGTGGCCGAAAAAAAAAAAAAACTAGTGTCTAAATGAAACCTTGGAAGATAATCATATAAAAGAATGCTTGTTTGCATACTAAATACTGTTCGTTCAATGGTCCGTTCTCTCACCAGATTCCACAACTGAGGGCCTAACACACATTTACAAGATTGTATTTAAGAATAGACGAGGGAACCCAAATGCTCGCGATGTACCACCTGGGCTCTAATCTACGGGGCCATAGGGTAAACCACGGGTATCCCTTGATCATTGTAAGAGATTTTACCAGTAAAGAGCGTCATGAAAGCGTAATTGACGGTATCAATAGTTTGAGGGAAAAAGGGCACACAATCTCCCATGTCCCATACCATGAGAAGGTGGTGTTTGGAAATAATTTTCCCTTGGCAATACCTTGCTTTTCCACCTGCGCACACCTTTAACTACCGTAGTACCGTAACACGTCAGTTCCTTTTCTCTTTCCACAATTGTTGCATAGCATCCCATGTCATGTCAAATAATGAAACGAAAGATAAGATCTCAATCCATTTATCAAAGAAACTAAATCAAAACCTAAAAAAGTCCTTTCCATCAGAAGTTGGCAGCGACTGGACTACCATCAACAGACCGTGAGGGGCCAAAAAAACAGATCCTTGGATTCAACTTTCCCTTCTGTTTTTAATGAAGTAGATTATGAATATGTGAAGAGAGAGAAACGTACGTCGCGCTGCATACCTGTCATATCACAAGCCCAACTGTTAATTTTAATTGTGGGCTTTAGAAGCCACGCCATTAAATGTGTGACCATTTGCCATTAGGACAAACTTGTGGTATCACAAAGTCGACGTCAAGAGCCAGCATTTAAAGTGCACATCAAATTTGCATTTCATTCGTTACTTCGTGAAACGACCTGCCGAATTCTATTCAATCAATTTGGTGTGGATGTGGTAGATTTTTTCAAGTCACTTCAATGTAATTAAATCTTTATGTTCTAGTTCGGAAACTAACATGGAAAACATTTTTCTATCTGTCTATCTGTCGGCTCCCAGGCTATGACTTGCTAAATCCTTCTCACATCTTGTGTACCGCGTTTCAGGCCATTTAATGGCTGCTATGTCTTACAGTTCATTAAAATTGGCTAAGTATCAATCCGTGTTTAAAATCTTCTCCACCCTTTCCAATCCTCGTTCAATTTCGGTTCACTCTTATTCCTACTTCTTCGTTGTTTGTCTACGTTGGTAAGCTCTATTTTAGAGATTTCTTCTTTCCCATTCAGAAATACCTCAGTCCTTAAGGTAATAAGCTATATGCGTCAGAAAATCACCTGGATATCGATCTATTACAGTCTAGGGTTGTCACGTCTGATCTCAATAAAATAAAATAAAGCGTATACGGTTGACCTGCGAAAGTAACGAAGTGATCCACACAGGTAAGCTCCAATTAGAAAAATTGCAGAAAAGAAGCCTGCAAAAATTCAGGACTCGGGATTCTGTGCTTCACAGATATTAGTTAC